GTGCTGGGCCCCTCAGCAGGCATCGAAACTGGCGACAGTTTCACAGATCGCAGCCACCCATGGATGGCGAAGTTCAATTTGGACCCGCGGCTGGTACCCACTGCGCTGGGCCCCCCCAGCAGGCCTCGAAAGCTGCGACAGTTTCACAGATCGCAGCCCCCCAAGGATGGCGTGGTCTAATTAGAGTCCGCGGTGTGTACCCACTGTGATGGCCCCCCCAGCAAACCTTCGAAAGTGGCGACAGTTTCACAGATCGCAGCCCCCCAGGGATGGGGATGTCTAATTTGAACCCGCGGTGTGTGCCCACTGTGCTGGGCCACCCAGCAGGCCTCGCAAGCGGCGACAGTTTCACAGATCGCAGCCCCCCAGGGATGGCGGGGTCTAATTTGAGTCCGCGGTGAGCACCCACTGTGCTGGGCCCCGCCAGCAGGCCTCGAAAGTTGCGACAGTTGCACAGATCGCAACCCCCCAGGGATGGCGAGGTCTAATTTGAATTTGCGCGTGGCATCACTGTGCTGGGCCCCCCCCCCAGCAGGCCGCGAAAGTGGCACAAGTTTCACAGGTCGCAGCCCCCCAGGGATGGCGAGGTCTAACTTGAACCCGCCGTGGGTACCCACTGTGCTGGGCCCCCCAGCAGGCCTCGAAAGTGGCGACAATTTCACAGATCGCACCCCCCCAAGGATGACGAGGTCACATTTGAGTCCGCCGTGGGTACCCACTGCGCTGGGCCCCCCAGCAGGCCTCGAAAGTGACGACAGTTTCACAGATCGCAGCCCCCCCCCCCCCCAGGGATGGCGATGCCACATTTGAATCCGCAGCGGGTGCAGACTGTGCTGGGCCCCCCAGCAGCCCTCGAAAGTGGTGACAGTTTCGCAGATCGCAGCCCCCCATGGATGGCGAGGTCCCATTTGAATCCGCCGTGGGTACCCACTGTGCTGCCCCCCCCCCAGCAGCCCTCGAAAGTGGCGACGGTTTCGCAGATCGCAGCCCCCCAGGGACGGCGAGGTCACATTTGAATCCGCCGCGGGTGCAGACTGTGCTGGCCCCCCCAGCAAGCCTCGCAAGTGGCGGCAATTTCACAGATCGCAGCCCCCCAAGGATGGCGAGGTCCCATTTGAGTCAGCCGTGGGTACCCACTGTGCTGGGCCCCCGAGCAGCCCTCGAAAGTGGAGACCGTTTCGCAGATCGCAGCCCCCCAGGGATGGCGAGGTCTAACTTGAATCCGCAGCGGGTGCAGACTGTGCTGGGCCACCCCAGCAGGCCTCGAAAGTTGCGACAGTTTCACAGATCGCCGCCCCCCACGGATGGCGAGGTCACATTTGAATCCGCCGCGGGTGCAGACTGAGCTGGGCCCCCCAGCAGGCCTCGACTGTGACGATAGTTTCGCAGATCGCAGCCCCCCCCCAGGGATGGCAAGGTCACATTTGAATCCGCCGCGGGTGCAGACTGTGCTGGGCCCCGCCAGCAGGCCTCGAAAGTGGCGACAGTTTCACAGATCGCAGCCCCCCAGGGATGGCGAGGTCCCATTTGAATCCGCCGCGGTGCAGACTGTGCTGGGCCCCCCAGCAGGCCTCGAAAGTGGCGATAGTTTCGCAGATCGCACCCCCCCAGGGATGGCGAGGTCCCATTTGAGTCCGCCGCGGGTGCAGACTGTGCTGGGCCCCCCAGCAGGCCTCGATAGTGGCGACAGTTGCACAGATCGCAGCCCCCCAGGGATGGCGAGGTCAAATTTGCATCCGCCGCGGGTGCAGACTGTGCTGGGCAGGCCTCGAAAGTGGCGACAGTTTCACAGATCGCAGCCCCCCAAGGATGGCGAGGTCTACTTTGAATCCGCCGCGGGTGCAGACTGTGCTGGGCCCCGCCAGCAGGCCTCGAAAGTGGCGACAGTTTCGCAGATCGCAGCGCCCCCGGGGATGGCGAGGTCCCATTTGAATCCGCCGCGGGTACAGACTGTGCTGGGCCCCCCAGCAGCCCTCGAAAGTGGCGACAGTTTCACAGATCGCAGCACCCCAGGGAGGGCGAGGTCTAATCTGAGTCCCCGTAAGACGTCACTCCGCTGCCCCCCCCAGCAGGCCTCGAAAGTGGCGACAGTTTCACGGATCGCAGCCCCCCAGCGATGGCGAGGTCTAATCTGAGTCCCCGTAAGACGGCACTGTGCTGGGCCCCCGAGCAGCCCTCGAAAGTGGCGACAGTTTCACAGATCGCAGCACCCCAGGGATGGCGAGGTCTAATCTGAGTCCCCGTAGACGTCACTGGGCCCCCCAGCAGGCCTCGAAAGTGGCGACAGTTTTACGGATCGCAGCCCCCCATGGATGGCGAGGTCTAATTTGAATCCCCGTAAGACGTCACTGTGCTGGGCCCCCCAGCAGGCCTCGATAGTGGCGACAGTTTCACAGATCGCAGCACCCCAGGGATGGCGAGGTCGAATCTGAGTCCCCGTGAGACGTCACTCCGCTGCCCCCCCCAGCAACCCTCGAAAGTGGCGACAGTTTCACGGATCGCAGCCCCCCAGCGATGGCGAGGTCTAATCTGAGTCCCCGTAAAACGTCACTGTGCTGGGCCCCCGAGCAGCCCTCGAATGTGGCGACAGTTTCACAGATCGGGAGAATGGAGGAGAGGAGGGGGACGGGAAGGAGGAGGGGAGACGCGACCGCAGTGCTCTATTCAAAACGAGTACCCAACGCAGGAGGGTTGGGAAAAAACGTCCCCATACTATTTTTTACTATCTTCGAATATTCCCCTGCAGAGGGACAGGCCCGAGTTAAACTTAGAGAAGAATTTGAAAAGAAAAACTGCGTAAACATAACCCTTGCGGCGCTCCGCGCGGATTTCGTGGATCTGCGCTAGACCCCCCTCGGAGCGCGCCAAGGGCGGCGCCGGAGGCGCCGCCGGGGGGGGCCCCAGCGCGGATCCGAGAAATCCGCGCGGAGCGCCGAGAGTTTATGTTGATGGAGTTTGTTTTGGCGGTGGATACATCTGCCTTTAGTAAACCTCTCTTTAGTGAAAACGGCCTAGGACCGAAACCGACGGACCTGGACCCGCAAAAATGACGGCCGCGACGCCCTCTCGCGAACCGAGAACGGCCAATTCGCTAATCGACGTGTCAGGGCAGGAGGTCTATCAGCTTCCGATTTTGCTTCTCCGAGCGTCAACAGGCAGGACCCCAGGACCATCCGAGAACGGTGCAGAGCCTGCCGCCACCACTCACGAGGCCGCACCTGGGAAGCCCCTGCCACCAGTCCTGGGCCCACAGGGGCGGAAGAGGACCGGTGAGCACATCGCCGATCGATCTACGATCGGCTCCCGGCAGCGACGCCGCACGCTCCCGGGCGGGGCTGGTTGGGCACCTGCAGGGCCCCCTCGGCGACGACTGAGCGACAAGGGGTCGATGCGCTCCCCTCAGCCGATCCCCCCTCACCAGACCGCCCCCGACCGGAGGAGCACAGCACGTCGGGAGCAGCAGAGCGTCGGAGGTCCGAGCGGGTGTCGTGGGTCGGCGCTGGGCCCCTCCCCTCCCTGGCGCGCGCGGAGCGCTGCGCCGCGGGGGGGGCGCGGCGCAGATCCGGGAACGCCGCGCGCAGCTCCGAGAACTGATGTTTGTGCAGCGCTCTTAGGGGGCAAACAGACCCACCTCGCTTTTGACCACCCTTGCTTCCAAGAGATACCAAGCGATGCCAAAGCACGGCCCGTACTGGTCAGAACGCTTGACGAGGCGGCGCGTGGTATGACTTGGTTTTGCCTGGAAGCGAAAGCGGGGTAGGTAATCCACGCTCTGATTTTCTTCAGCCATGATACAAGTCCTGGGCCAGAAACAGGGCTCGATCTGAATAACGTGTTCCGTGCTCTTGTTGCTCTCGTGCTCCCTCTTCCTGTCTCCATTCCGCCCCTGCTGCAGAGCCCAAAGAGAAAACGGCCCACGACAACGTCAAAACACAGTGTATTGGCGTCGCGCAGGGAGTGGTAAGAGGCGGGGGGAAGCCTTCTTACAAGGAGGCTGCTTCTCAGAAAGCGCCAGCCGTACATCCATGTAGACAAGGCCCGCGCCTTCTAGGAACCAGGAGTCCTTCTAAGAAGCGTTCCCCCCTCCCCCTTACCACCCCGAGACCCCCGACGTCATGATTTTTCATCACGCCGACCCCCAAAGGTCTCGACCCATTCCCCGGGAGTGGATTTTCATTTAGAATCGTTGTTTGACGGTCCCGAGTGCCGGTAAGGGCCCCCGGAGGCGGACAATCTGGAAAAACCTGCCGCGGTGACTTTTTCATAACCCGAGTGGGTCTGGACTCAAGTCGGGCCTGTATTCCTACATCGAGGAAAAATTAACAAGAGTCCACATATATGCAAAAATGCAAAAAAACAAAATCGTCCCCAGACTATTTTTTACTATCTTAAAAGATTCCTCCCGTAGAGGGACACGCCCGAATCAAGTCTGGGCCCTCTGTGCGTGGCCGCGTTTCGCTCGAGCCCTGGCCGAAGGGCCCGGCCTGGCCAGGGGTCCGCGCCTAGAAGAAGAACCAAAACGGCATAAACTGAAGTCGGGCCTGTCCCCCCACAGGCCGATTTTCAAGGCAAGTATTAAAAACAATAGTCACACATACTCAGAAATTGTCAAGCACAGCTGAAACAGAATCCCCCGACCATTGTTTCACTATGTTTGCAGGCTCCCCCTGTAGAGGGACAGGCCCGACATAAGCCTAGAAGAAGAAACGACGGCAAAGACATACACTTGTGGCGCTCCGCGCGTGTTTCTTGGATCTGCGCTGGACTCCCCTCCCTGGCGCGCGGAGCGCGCCTGGGGCGGCGCAGCGCGGATCCTCCTCCTCCTCCTGCTCCTCCTCGTCCTCGTCCTCGTCCTCCTCCTCCTCCTCCTCCTCGTCCTCCTCCTCCTCCTCCTCCTCCTCCTCCTGGGGCGCCCTGGCGCGCGGAACGCCAAAAGTCTGGGTTTCTGCCATCCGTTCCTCTTCGGGCGCGGCCAGCGTTTGGAGCCCCGAGGCCCGCGCCTGGCGCCCGCGGCGGCGCGGGGGCGGGGCGGCCTCCCGGCCGCCGCCGTCCTGGCGGGAGTGCCGCGCTCGGGTCGTCGTCGTCGTCGTCGTCGTCGTCGTCGTCGTCGTCGTCGTCGTCGTCGTCGTCGTCGTCGTTGTGCTCGTCGTCGTTGTGCTCGTCCTCGTCCTCGTTGTCGTCGACGTCGTCGTCCTCGTCGTCGTCGTCGTCGTCCTCGTCGTCGTCCTCGTCGTCGTCGACGTCGTCGTCCTCGTCCTCGTCGTCGTCGTATTGCTCCCCTGCCGGCGGGGGGGGCCCCCTCGCGGCGGTGGTCCAGAAGGGGCCCCCGCTCCCAGTAGGGGTGCGCGGCGTGGCACACAGCTGGCGCGCTGGCAGGAGGAGGCGCGCAAGATGACAGAGCGCAGGGGCGTTTTTTCCTGGCCACAGCGGGCACAGGAGCCAAGCAGGCTTCCTCCTCCTCCTCCTCCTCCTCCTCCTCCTCCTTTCCCCCCCTCCTTCCTCCTCATCCCCCTCCTCCTCCTCCTCCTCCTCCTCCTCCTCCTCCTCCTCCTTCTCCTCCTCCTCCTCCTCCTGGTCCTCCTCCTCCTCATTGTGCTCCTCCTCCTTTTCCTCCTCCGCCTCCTCCTCCCCGGCTTCTCCTCCTCCTCCTCCTCCTCCTCCTCCTCCTCCTCCTCCTCCCTCCTCCCCCCTCGTCGTCGTCGTCCTCCTCCTCCTCCACCTCCTCCTCCTCCTCCTCCTGTCCTCCCTTCGCCTCCTCCTCCTCCTCCTCTCCTCCTCCTACTCTCCTCCTCCTCCTCCCTCTCTTCCCCCTCCTCCTCCTCCTCCTTTCCCTCCTCCTCCTCCCTCCTCCTCCTCCTCCTCCCTCCTCCTCTCCTCCCTCCTCCTCCTGCTCCCTCCTTCCTCCTCCCTCCTCATCCTCCTCCTCCTTATTTCCCTCCTCCTCCTCCTCCTCCTCCTCTTCCCTCCCCTTCTCCTCCTCCTCCTCCTCCTCTCCTCCTCCTCTCCTCCTCCTCTTTCTCCCTCCTCCTCCCCTCCTCCTCCTCCTCCTCCCTTCCCCCTCCTCCTCCCTCCTTCCCCTCCTCCTCCTCCTCCTCTCCTCCTCCTCCTCCTCTCCTCCTCCTCCTCCTCCTCCTCCTCCCTCCTCCTCCTCCTCTCCTCTCCTCCTCCTCCTCCTCCTCCCTCCTCCTCCTCCTCCTCCATCCTCCCTCCTCCCTTCCTCCCTCCTCCTCCTCCTCCTTCCCTCCTCCTCCTCCTCCTCCTCCTCCTCCTCCTCCTCCTCCTCCTCCTCCTCCTCCTCCTCCCTCCTCCCTCCTCCTCCCTCCTCCTCCCTCCTCCCTCCTCCCTCCCTCCCTCCTCCTCTCCCTCCTCCTCCTCCTCCTCCTCCCCCTCGTCCTCCTCCTCCTCCACCTCCTCCTCTCCTCCTCCCTCCTCCTCCTCCTCCTCCTCCTCCTCCTCTCCTGTTCCTTTCTCCCTCCTCCTCTTGGGTCCAGGAGGGGCTCCGCTCCCGTGCGGGCCGCTCGTGCCACGACAGGAGCCCGAGGACCGGCCCAGAACGCCCGAGCTCCAAACGGTCCTCATGCAGGCGTCTTGACTGCAAAGAGGTCTTAAAGGGGCCCCAGGACACACAAATAAATACACACAACTAACAATGATTCCCCATGTTTCCCCATTTGGTTGGGGTTTTCGTCTTATCCACACTTCCCATAGTTTCCCATATTTTCTGGGGAATCGACGATTAATTGTGTCTGTGTTTTTGTTCCCCCTCCTGAGGTCTGGTGGTGCCAATCGCGGAGATGGCGATGCTATCGACGATGCTCTCTGGGTTTCTGAATAGGCATGGGGTCGGACCCCCGTCGGGTTGCTCAACAAACGTTGGTTTCTTGATACGCGTGGGGTCGGACCCCCGATACTCTGGGTTTCTGAATCAAGCGTGGGTGTCCTGATAAGCGACACGCGGTGGACCCCCGTCGGGGATACCCCCCCGACGGGGGTCCACCCCGCCTCGTCGTCGCGCCGCGACCGGGGTTCGATGTGGGGCTATCGGCGGGGGTGACGCCCCCTCGACGCTTATTAAGAAACTCGGAGTAGATAAAATCGCCAAATTCAGCAATTGTACCACACCCTTTAGACCACACACCCTCTCTTACCTCCAAGAAAAGAAACAGCAACCTGGCCCAGCACAGAAACGGAAAGAGCGCTTCAGAAACAGAAGCCGAAATTACTCACACCACCGTTCGTACTGGGAGCCTTGGCGTTGAGAGCTTGTTACGTCACCCCTCGCTCTTGGGAGCCTTGGTGTTCAGAGATTGTTGCGTTGCCGCCCGTTCCTGAGCCTTGGCTGGGCCTTGGTGTCAGGAACTTGTTACGTCACCGCTCTCTGCTGGGAGCCTTGGTCTTATCAGCTTGTTTACGTCACCGTTCGCTCTTGGGAGCCTTGGTGTGAAGAGCTTTTTGCGTTACCGATCGCTCTCTATTTGGCGTCTCTGGGCCTTCTTGGGAGTCCTATTGGGGCCCTTGTCGGGCCCTTTTGGAGGCCTCGTGGGAACCTCTTGGGGGCCTCTTGGGGCTTCTTGGGGGGCTCTGGGGGCCTCCTGGGAGCTTCTTGGGGCGAAAGGCTAGACTTTTCGGTTCGTGGTTCCCCTCTTGGGGCCGTCTTGGGGCCCTCTTGGGCCGTCTTGGGCGCCTCTTGGGCCGTCTTGGCGCCCTCTTGGGCCGTTTTGGGGGCCTCTTGGGGGCCTCTTGGGCCGTCTTGGGGCGGTCTTGGGGGCCTCCTGGAGCGTCTTCAACGCAGTGCAAGCCGAAAAGCCTTGTATGCTAAAAATGTACCTTTTCCCATAGGAAATCAATGATTTTCGCCTCCCGGTGGCCTCTTGGGACGCCTCTTGGGAGCCTCTTGGGGCTTCTTGGGGGGCTCTGGGGGCCTCCTGGGAGCGTCTTGGGGCGAAAGGCTAGACTTCTCGGTTCGTGGTCCCCCTCTTGGGGCCGTCTTGGCGCCCTCTTGGGCCGTCTTGAGCGCGTCTTTGGGCCGTCTTGGGGCCCTCTTGGGAGCCTCTTGGGCCGTCTTGGGGCGGTCTTGGGGGCCTCTTGGGCCGTCGTCAACGCCGTGAAAGCCGACAAAGCGCATATGCTAAAAATATACGGCTTCAGCTGGAAAATCTATGATTTCGGCCTCTTGGGGCCCTCTTGGGACGCCCCCTGGGCGCCTCTTGGGGGCCTCTTGGGGGCCTCTTGGGCTCTCTTGGAGCGCTCTTGGGCCGTCTTGGGGGGGAACCCGAAAACATGCAAAAACCCGAGGGTAAACCCGAAAATGGCCATTAACATGCAAATGCACGCACTACCCCCCTCCCCTGGAACCCCATTAGGGCTTGGCCCACACCAGAACGTCATCACTCGTACCTCGCTCTTTCCGTTATCCGCCCGACTGACTGGGGAAAGGCGCCGGGATTGCACAGGAGCGCTCCGCCAGACGTGTGGGCCCGGGCGCCTCGCCAACGAGGAGGGCGGTTGGAGGTCGAACGCCGATCCCTGAACTTCTCCTGGGGCGGGTCGGAAGGGGGGACTAGTATGAAGGGGCCCTGGAACACACAAATAAATACACACAAATAACAGGATCCCCAACATTTTCCAATATCTTCTGGGTTTTCGTCTTCCCCCCCACTTCCCATATTTTCACATATTTTCTGGAGAATCGACGATTCATTGTGTCTGAGTGTGCTTTTTCCCCCTGATAATAGAAGGGGGGGGGGGGGGCGACGCAGCTCACGTAGCTATAGCTCTCGAGCCTCCCAGCGCCAGAGGCGCCGACTGCATCGAGAAAAGCGCCTGGCCGCGGGGCCGAAGTCAGCTGCGTTCGTCAGTTGTCGTCTCCCCCCTTGCCCTCCCCCCCTTGTCCTCCCCCACTCCCGTTTCGCGCGACCCGACGCGCAGAAGCGTGCGCAAGCGCGCGGACGCGTGGACGTGAGCAAGCGAGCGCGCGCACGCGCGGGGGACGCCAGGAATGGGCGCCCGCACAGTGCGGGCCCCCATCCCCGCACGAGGCTGCAAGTGCGGGCCGCACCTACCGCCCCGCCCGGCAGCACCCAGAGGGGTATGTCAGGTGCGCGCGGTGGCGACCCCAGTGCTGGCCTCTGGCACAGCGAAGATCTCTCAGCCTTCTTGGGCGCCCGAATTATCTGGGGTAACTCGGGTCCGGGGTAACTCGGGCTTCGATTCCCGTAAGACGAACCCGAGTTATCCCTGACCCGAGTTACCCCTGATGATTTGGGGCCCTGGACGCCCGAATTATCCGGTGTAACTCGGGTCCGGGGTAACTCGGGTTTGGATTCCCGAAAAACGAACCCGAGTTATCCCTGACCCGAGTTACCCCTGATGATTTGGGGCTCTGACCCTCTGCGATCGGCAGCTTTTCCCGATCGCCGCATCGCTCCGTGCTGGCCGACTCCAGGCCGCCGCCAGCCTCCGACCCGTGGACGCCAGTGGCGGGGTCGCCGCCGCGTCAGCACGACACGAGCCCACCGCACTAGGAGGAGGAGGAGGAGGAGGAGGAGGAGGAGGAGGAGGAGGAGGAGGAGGATGAAGGAGAGGAGGAGGAGGGGGAGGAGGAGGAGGAGGGAGGAGAGAGGAGGAGGAGAGAGGAGGGAGGAAGGAGGAGAAAGAGGGAGGAGGAGGAGGTGGAGGCGGGAAGACGAGCTCAGGCACGGCTGGCCAGGTGCATGCTGAGCGGCGCTGTCCTGCCGCCTCTCCCGCGCCGTCCAGCCCTGCCTCTTCCCTGCGCGGTTCCGGCGCGTCCAAGGCCGAGTGCCCATCGCAACGCCGCGCGGGGGCGGGGGGATGGCCTGGGCCTGGGGGCTTCGAGGCGTCCGATGACGGTGCGGGGTCGAGGCTGAAGCAGGCATCGAGGATCGAGGAAGCTGGCTTGTTCCTCGCCTTCCCCGGGCCTCCGAAACGCTTCTTGGCACCACGGCTGGACCACCCCGGGAAAACATCGCGGTCAGAAAGGCACCCCTGAAGAGGTCGTGGGGGGGGGTCTTGAGGCTCGCGAGTTCTGGCCCCTTGTCTGGAAATTATGGAAGATGTTTCCTCATGGCTGCAAGTTCTAAAGAAGTGTCAGAGGGTCTGGGAGGAATTGTCTGACGTTCTGGGGGGGGGGGTCCGGGAAACTATGGCGGGCGTCTTCCCTTTCCTCCACGCGGAGGTAGGTGTGTGTGTGTGTGTGTGTGTGCGCGTACATCTTAAAAAGTGGCGCGACCCAAACCCTAGAAGTTTCCGCTGTAAGTGTTTCCTTCCATTTTACATGCCCTGGGGGGGGTATGTCCTGAAGCCTCTGGGGTGGAGGGAGGAGGATGAGGGTTGGTGAAGGAACCTGGAGTTTCTTCTTTTGGTGTCGGATCAGACTGTGAGACGCTGATCGACTAGTTTAGTGCGAGTGCGCGCGCTTCCAAATCTAGTTTAGCTCTCGAAGTCTGTTGCTTAGGACCTCGCTGAAACGGTAGATATTCACAAATCTGTGGTGCACAGTGCACAGCAGTGGGTGCAGATCTCTTGAGCGAAGGGCGAAGGATCACACAAGAGAGCGCTGTAGAAGCAAGCAGAATGACAGCGGTATTCTAGTAATCAGGACGAGGAGGAGGAGGAGGAGGAGGAGGAGGAGGAGGAGGAGGAGGAGGAGGGGTGGAAGAGGAGGAAAAAGGAGTAGCGGTGGCATGATGCCGTCCCATATCGATGCACGTTCCCCCGTCCTGGCCAGACCTCTGTCGGGCATCACCGACGACTTCGACGGCGACGACGCCGACGCGGGCGGGGGCCGGCTCCGAGGAAGACGACGCCTCGGCGTGGAGCGCCACCGTGTCGCCGGCGGCGGCGGCGAGCGAGCGGGACGTCATGGCGCGCGCAGAGGGGCCCGCAGAAGGGGGCAGGGGCTAGTTGGCGGTGCGCGCCGGGGGGGGGGGGGCGCGAGCGGGGCGGCCTTGATACGGAGGAGGGAGAGGAGGAGGAGTAGGGAGGAAGAGTAAGGAGGAGGAGGGAGGAGGAAGAGAGGAGGAGGAGAGAGGATTATTAGGAGAAGGAGGGGGCGTCTGAGCAGGCAGGGGGGGCCCTTAGAGGCCTTCAGAGGCTTCTAATCGGGTCGGGCAAATGGGGGGGATAGCAAAGGGGGGGGTTTGAGAATCAGCTCACGTAGCTGATTTTCCCGGCGCCTGCCGGCGCCGGAGGCGGCTATGTATCGTCCCTCGGTGGGGCCGAAACCAGCTGCATGCAGCAAATTTCGTGACCCCCACTTTCCCAATCCCCCCCTTTCGTCCAGCCCGATCTAAGGAGCCCTCGAAGAGGCCGTCCAGGTCCTTCTAGGTGAAGGCCCCCGCCTTCCAAGAAGCTGCCACGCCGCCTTGCGGGCGCACGCTGACACGGATGACGGATCCGTCGATGCGGCGCGAGCGCGCCAGATCTACGGATGGGGGGAAAGTGCGAGTACCCCCCCCCGAAACGTGAAGCCAACGCCGCCTGACTCAGCGATGGAGCGCGCCGACTTTGCACGGAAGCTGGACCCGTCGCTAATCCACGCGCCTCAATCCATGTTTGCGTTTTCACGGTTTTGATGGCAGGCACAGACAAACACTGAATACACAACAACTTTCGGTGCTCCGCGCGGATTTCTCGGATCGGCGCAAAAAAACCCTCTGGCGGCGCCTCCGATGCCCCCCCTGGCGCGCTCCGCGCGCCAGGGAGGGGGGGCTTTGGTGCCGATCCAACAGGTCCGCGCCGAGTTCTGACAACTTATGTTTACGTAGCACCCCGCAGTTGCGGATAAGAGTGAGGGGGCGGCGGGACGTCGGCAGCCCTCCAGGCTCTCAAGAAGCCCGCCGCAGGCGCATAAATTTTCAAGCTGTACAACGAACCCGCCGCATGCGCCGATTTTTTTGGTGAAAGCAATGTGGGTGGGTCGCGGGTGGGGTCGCAAGTGGGTC